CGGGCCTGGACATGGGCTTTCTTGAGCAGAGGGACCTTGCGGGCACTGCAGGATTTCAGTCCTTGTCGGCGTAGTGTGTTACCAATTGTTTTCTTGGTGACTGTGGTCCCAGCTGCCTGGAGATCATTGACAAGATCCTCACGTGTGAGTTCTGGGATGATTCCTCACTGTTCTCATGATCATTGACACTCCACGAGGTGAGATCTTGCATGGTGCACCAGACCTAGGGAGACTGACACTTGTTTTGTGTTTCTTCCATTTGTGAATGATTGCACCAACTGTTGTCACCTTCTCACCAAGCTGCTTGGCCATAGTTTGGTAGCCCAGTCCAGCCTTGTGTAGGTCTACCATCTTGTCCCTGACCTCCTTGGACAGCTCTTTGGTCTTTTCCATGGTGGAGAGTTTGGAATCTGATGGTTTGATTGCTCCTGTGGACAGGTGTCTTTTATACAGGTAACACAATGAGATTAGCAGCACTCCCTTTAAGAGACTGCTTCTAATCTCAGCTTGTTACCTGTATGAAAGACACCTGGGAGCCAGAAATCCTGCTGAATGATAGGGGATCAAATCCTTCTTTCCCTCATGAACATGCAGATCCGTCATCATTTGTTAGACACATTTCTGCTGAATTTGTTGTTGTATTCTGTCTCTCAGTGTTACACCGAACATTTTATTGTTAGACCGATCATTTCTGTGTGAGGGGCGAACATTCCATTGTTAGACGAGATCATTTCTGTGTGAGGGGCGAACATTCCATTGTTAGACCGATCATTTCTGTGTGAGGGGCGAACATTCCATTGTTAGACCGATCATTTCTGTGTGAGGGGCGAACATTCCATTGTTAGGCCGATCATTTCTGTGTGAGGGGCGAACATTCAAACTCAACCGGGGAGCAAATACGCATTTCCTTCACTATATATGAAGTACAGTATATTGTGGATAAATTCTTCAAGAGAAACTAATTCCTATTACATCACCCTTTGTTGGAGACAATAAATATCAACGTAAACTCCTCTATATATATATATATATATAAAATATATTATAACCCAAACAAAAAAAAAAAATCTTAGCACAAAAATACATAACATACATTTAAAAACCACTTAAAAAAAATTCCTGCCTGGTGTTAGTCACCTGATCTACGTATACTTCAATCATGGATGACAGCGTTCCTTCACACATTAATATCTTTTGACACACAATGATTATTATTGAGGATTATAGACGCGCCTTCCATGGATGAGCAACACCGAGAACTCTGACAGCATGAGGTGAGTCGGTGGTCATTAATTAGAATCATTTGTCAACAGATACGAAACGCACGCCGTATGAAAGAACTCCGTATGAAGGAACGGAACCGTATGAAAGAAAAGAACATTCATCAGTGAAATATACAAATAGGTAGACAAAACAACGGTGACACAAGTCAGGGAGGAATTTTTTTTAGATTGTTTTAGATATGCTTTTGTGTTAAGATTTCATTTGGATTACATTTATAATAATATATTTCTATGTATATTGAGGAGTTTCTGGCAGTATATAGTGCCGGACATACATATCTCGAATAAAAGGTATATTTGTTTTAAATGATGTAACAGGAATTTGATTCTAACATAACACATTTAATTATAACATAATTAACCACAATATATATATGTGTGTGTATATATATATAATGTATATGAATATACATTGTCAACAGGACCCCACCCCTTCCCTATCTACTGGCTGTTTGCAGCTATTATGTGTTTATTTCCAGGTTTTACCTCTAAAGACCTCTGTAATGTCAGGTAATCAGACAGGAGTTTGCTGGCTCGGTGGGCATGATTCGGACTGGCTTCCATCTTGGAGTTTAACTCTTTGATCGGAGAATGGAGCTTTGTTAATTCATCCAGGAGGACCTGCAGAGGAGCGAGGTAAGTCATTATCATAACGTCGGCTGGGTTGTGTACTATCTATTTCCCATCCCATGTTACTTTGTATCTCTCTATCTCCTGTCTTATCGATGTTTATAAACAATGTTACTTTGTATCTCCTGCCTGTTCAATGTTTATAAACAATGTTACTGTGTATCTCTCTATCCTCCATCTGATCGATGTTTATAAACAATGTTACTTTGTATCTCTCTAGCTCCTGTCTGATCGATGTTTATAAACAATGTTACTTTGTATCTCTCTAGCTCCTGTCTGTTCAATGTTTATAAACAATGTTACTGTGTATCTATCTCCCATCCGATCGAAGTTTATAAACAATGTTACTTTGTATCTCTTTATCTCCCGTCTGATCGATGTTTATAAAACAATGTTACTTTGTATCTCTCTATCTCCCGTCTGATCGATGTTTATAAACAATGTTACTTTGTATCTCTCTATCTCCCGTCTGATCGATGTTTATAAACAATGTTACTTTGTATCTCTCTATCTCCTGTCTTATCGATGTTTATAAACAATGTTACTTTGTATCTCCTGCCTGTTCAATGTTTATAAACAATGTTACTGTGTATCTCTCTATCCTCCATCTGATCGATGTTTATAAACAATGTTACTTTGTATCTCTCTAGCTCCTGTCTGATCGATGTTTATAAACAATGTTACTTTGTATCTCTCTAGCTCCTGTCTGTTCAATGTTTATAAACAATGTTACTGTGTATCTATCTCCCATCCGATCGAAGTTTATAAACAATGTTACTTTGTATCTCTTTATCTCCCGTCTGATCGATGTTTATAAACAATGTTACTTTGTATCTCTCTATCTCCCGTCTGATCGATGTTTATAAACAATGTTACTTTGTATCTCTCTATCTCCCGTCTGATCGATGTTTATAAACAATGTTACTTTGTATCTCTCTATCTCCTGTCTTATCGATGTTTATAAACAATGTTACTTTGTATCTCCTGCCTGTTCAATGTTTATAAACAATGTTACTGTGTATCTCTCTATCCTCCATCTGATCGATGTTTATAAACAATGTTACTTTGTATCTCTCTAGCTCCTGTCTGATCGATGTTTATAAACAATGTTACTTTGTATCTCTCTAGCTCCTGTCTGTTCAATGTTTATAAACAATGTTACTGTGTATCTATCTCCCATCCGATCGAAGTTTATAAACAATGTTACTTTGTATCTCTTTATCTCCCGTCTGATCGATGTTTATAAACAATGTTACTTTGTATCACTCTCTCTCTCCCGTCTGATCGATGTTTATAAACAATGTTACTTTGTATCTCTTTATCTCCCGTCTGATCGATGTTTATAAACAATGTTACTTTGTATCTCTCTATCTCCCGTCTGATCGATGTTTATAAACAATGCAACTTTGTATCTCTCTATGTCCTGTCTGTTCAGTATTTATAAACAATGTTACTTTGTATTTACACACCAACACCCAGCAGCCATGATTTGCTGGAAGATACAAGGGGGTGAGTGGCAGAAGGCCAGGTCATGTGATCTGCGCTCTGTACTTCTATAAATGGTTGCGTGTCACATCCATAACTGACAAGAAAACCTCCAATCTCTACCCAACACCAATCCGCACACCCTCCCCCAACCAACCTGCAGCCGCTGTAGCTGAGCCTCTTTTCCGATGATGTCCGGCTGCATCTCGTTTTCTTTGACGCATTTGATTCGCAGCGCTGACAGCTTCTGATGCAACAACCTGAACGCAGAATCAAACTCTTCGCTCTGAGCCGCCAGATTCTGAAATAGAAAGTGAAGTGAATACATCTTCCTTCTCTGCTCTCCCGGAGTGCTCAGAGGAGCCCCAAGAGTTTTCTTCAGCTCCCATAGGGCCCATTCACACTCCCTTCCTTGTAAAAACGTGCTGGTTGTCGCAATGCGTGCTACGCGTGTCGGCGCCATGTGATGTCATTCATTCCGAGCGGCCCCCCGAGGCACCATGCTGTTGGACGGGCATTACCATGCATGATTTCCAGCCCATTGCGGTGCACTGGGCACCCCTTTTCTTCATCCCTTCTCTCCTTTTCATTCCTTTTACTATTTTTTCTTTACTGTTTATATTCTGCTCATTGTCTTGTGTTTTCATTACATTATAAATACTAATCTCGCTCAGATTTGTGGGTGAAACGCATCAGTCAGGAGGTCCCTGGTGGGTAGTCTGCAAAGGCGGACTGACCATTTGGAAACTCGGGCACTGCCCGAGGGCCCGGGGTCAGTAGGGGGCCCCATGAGATGCCCCTGGTACCTTTTTCATAGGTTTTTTTGAGTTTGGGCAAGGACACAGGGGCCCCATGATCCCCTATTGCCCGGGGGCCCCATGAGTTGTCAGTCCGCCCCTGGTAGTCTGTTTTGTTTTTTTTTCCCAGAAAATAAAGTTTTTGGTTTTTTTTTGCACTTTTAGTTTAGCGGTCATGTTGGAAAATTCGTGGAAAACTACCGATTTTCACGGCAATGATGGCCAAATCGTACGATCGTTTTAACGAAAAACCCACAAATGATCCAGAGAAAGGCAAAAAAAAACCCAGCAAAGTACGATCCAATCTGCTCCTGCAGGGGAAACAATTCCTTCCTGATCCCCCGAGAGGCAATCGGATATTCCCGGGATCAACTTTCCCTATAAATGTTATATCCAGTTATATTCTGTGTATCCAAGAAAGGTGGTTCCTCCCCATTTTAATGATCGGGCATGTTGGAAAATTTGTGAGAAACAACCGATTTTCGACTCAATGATGGTCAAATCGTACGATTGCATTTTTCTGAAAAGAATATGCGCGTGACCTGGAAGGAACAGAAGTTTTGGCTCTTATATGGGGGTGAACTTTATGACTCGATCGGCCGATTTTTGTAATCGTTGGTGGTAACGTCGGTTTAACGAACGACCGATTTTTCATTTATCATTCGAAAAAACGTGAGGTTTTCGACCTGTCAATGGCCTGCATTAGGCTGGCCATACACTCAGTAGTGTATTTAGGTTTCGTGCTGCCCTAAGCAACACAAAAATTGGCTCCCCCCTGACATTGACCAACAATAGCCCAGTTTCCCCCCCCCCCACCCGAGAGAGCCTTCCACTACCACCTCCCCCCATACACTGGCAACCCCCCCCAACCCCTGCGAGAGAGAAGACACTCACCCAGGGGCGGACTGACCATTTGGAAACTCGGGCACTGCCCAAGGGCCCGGGGTCAGAAGGGGGCCCCATGAGATGCCCCTGGTACCTTTTTCATAGGCTTTGAGTTTGGGCAAGGACACAGGGGCCCCATGATCCCCTATTGCCCGGGGGCCCCATGAGTTGTAGGTCCGCCTCTGCCTGGTGCCTTTCATTGGCTTTTGCATAGGCTTTTTTGGGTGTGGGCAAGGACACAGGAGTTGTAGGTCCGCCCCTGCCTGGTGCCTTTCATTGGCTTTTGCATAGGCTTTTTTGGGTGTGGGCGAGGACACAGGGGCCCCATGATCCCCTATTGCCCGGGGGCCCCATGAGTTGCCAGTCCGCCCCTGCACTCACCTTCACAGCTCATCCCCGGGAACAAGAGTCAGGCTCTGCATACACCATCAAGCAGCCCCCAGAGCCTCTCTCAGATCCCGCCTGGTCCCCATGCTGCTTGTGTCCCTTCTTCTATCCCTTCTTTCAGGAGACCCTGAAAAATGCTGCTGCCCCCCTGAAAGTTGCCGTCCTAGGGAAATGCCTTGTTTGCCTTGTGGTAAATACGCCCCTGCATACACTATACAATTTTCTGCCCAGTTTTCTTTAGATTTACCTTCAGCTATGTAGCGCAAGGGCCGGCCTAATTGGATACAACTGAAAGTGGTGTTTAGGTTTGACCTCCTATTATATGGTTTTTGGTAAAATCTAAAAATCTCAAGAAAATTGTATAATGTATGGGCAGCCTGAGGCTTGGAATCGGTGCGCTCTGCATGATATGACTAGGGACTCCGCCCTGACATCCTACCTGCAGCTGACTCTTCCTCTCCAAAAGATCGCGGTGTAGCGCCTCTCTCTCAGCGTCGGCGGCGGCGACATCTCTCAGCAGCAGTTTGGTTCTGTCGTCGCCCAGCACGCTGTGTATTCCATCCTTCTTTGCCTCCAGCGCTGACAGGCTCTCTTTAATCATCCGGCTTTCCTCCAGAAGCTTCTAAAAAAAAAAAAAAAAAAAAAAAAAAAAAAAAAAAGAAGAAGGAAATGAACACGGGTCAGCGGGTCAGTCAAAAGCATTTTTTTCCCAACTTTAACCCCTTCATGCCGACGTCACACAAACACGCGGCCTCACAGAACTGGGCTTTTTTCTGTGGGGCCGCATATTTGCGCACCTGTCTTTCTGCTGGGAGCGCGCCGCACAGCGCACTCCCAGCACAAAGAGCAGGGTGTCACTGAGAGCCCTGGGTCCCGCTCTAATGATCGGGACCCAGGACTCCAGATTCCGGGTCACATGATTGCTGTGATAGCCCCTGATTGGCTATCACAATGATCAGTCACTGTACAGCCCGCCTCCATCACATCAGAGGTTTCCCATCACATCGGAGGTCCTCCATTACAACAGAGATTCCTCCATCACATCAGAGGTCCCCCATCACATCAGAAGTCCTCCATCACATCAGAGGTCCCCCCATCACATCAAAGGTCCCCCATCACATCAAAGGTCCCCCATCACAACAGAGATTCCCCCATCACATCAAAGGTCCCCCATCACAACAGAGATTCCCCCATCACATCAAAGGTCCCCCATCACAACAGAGATTCCCCCATCACATCAAAGGTCCCCCATCACAACAGAGATTCCCCCATCACAACAGAGGTCCCCCATCACATCAAAGTTCCCCCATCACATCAGAGGTCCCCCCATCACACCAGAGGTCCCCCATCACATCAGAGGTCCTCCCATCACATCAGAGGTCCTCCATCACATCAGAAGTCCTCCATCACATCAGAGGTCATCCTATCACATCAGAGGTCCCTCATCACATCAGAGGTCCTCCCATCACATCAGAGGTCCTCCCATCACATCAGAGGTCCTCCCATCACATCAGAGGTCCTCCCATCACATCAGAGGTCCCTCATCACATCAGAGGTCCCTCATCACATCAGAGGTCCCCCATCACATCAGAGGTCCCCCATCACATCAGAGGTCCCCCATCACATCAGAGGTCCCCCATCACATCAGAGGTCCCCCATCACATCAGAGGTCCCCCATCACATCAGAGGTCCTCCATCACATCAGAGGTCCCCCATCACATCAGAGGTCCTCCATCACATCAGAGGTATATATACATACAGGATACATTATATTATACATTGTATCTTTTTCTTCTTGCAGCAGAGAAAATTGTCAACAAACAAAAGCGTGTAAAGAAAATAAATACAAGCCAAAGGCATTCCTGACTCACCTCAATGCGGTGCAGGTCGTCGGGTTACCAGACCCATTGTTGGCTGCCACGGCGGTGGAGTCCAGGACGCTCTCAGCGATTGGCTTCCAGTACAGGAATTCCCGCAGGGGGTTCTGGAACAACTGACGCAGCTCGGATTCTGTGTCAGTGCTGAGCTTGAACGCTTTACTTTTTGCCCTGAAGGAATAAAAAATTGTGAGAAAAAAACATCCCAACACCTTTAATTATCGTCTATTATTTATAATAATGATTCCACAACAGAAAACAGGATCAACGACCATGGAAGACTGCCCCTAGTGGACACAGTCCACAGCAGAAACTAATTTTAGAAAAAAGAAAGTGCGTCTAGAGCCAAGTACAAAAATGTAATACATTGTATCTCACCAGTCCATATATATGGCGGCTGCATTCGTTTTATTTTTCTGGCTGTTTTAAAAATTATTTTTGCTTTATGATCCTGCTGGTAACACACTTTCTGTCCTGGGGTGACAACACTCACTCGCTGCACTCAGGGGCGTCCCTAGGGTTGGTGTCACCCGGTGCGATAACACTTGGTGACAACCCCTCCGACGATCCCCGCAGGATGGTTCTGATCTACGGATTGAGCATAATGGATCCGAGTCCAAATCCATTATGCTCCCCAATCCGCAGATCCGATCCATCCTGCGGGGATTGTCGGCTTTCTTTACAACTTACCTTTTTGTGGAGCGGGTTCGGTGTCACCCCGTATAGGTTGCATGCACTCAGGGGCGTCCCTAGGGTTAGTGTCACCCGGTGCGATAACACCCCCTCACTTGGTGACACCCCCTCCGACGATCCCCGCAGGATGGATCGGATCTGCGGATTGAGCATAATGGATCCGAGTCCGATCCATTATGCTCCCCAATCCGCAGATCCGATCCATCCTGCGGGGATCGTCGGCTTTCTTTACAACTTACCTTTTTGTGGAGCGGGTTCGGTGTGTCACCCCGTATAGGTTGCATGCACTCAGGGGCGTCCCTAGGGTTAGTGTCACCCGGTGCGATAACACCCCCTCACTTGGTGACACCCCCTCCGACGATCTCCGCAGGATGGTACCGATCTGTGGATTGAGCATAATGGATCTGAGTCCGATCCATTATGCTCCCCAATCCGCAGATCTGATCAGAATCCGTCGGCATGGAACCTATACGGGGTGACACCAGACCCGCTCCATGATCCCCAGATTGGGGAGCATAATGGATCGGCTCAATCCGCAGATCCGATCCATCCTGCGGTGATCGTCGGCATGCAACCTATACGGGGTGACACCGGACCCGCTCCACGAAAAGGTAAGCTGTAAAGAAAGCCGACGATCCCCGCAGGATGGATTGGATCTGCGGATTAGGGAGCATAATGGATCGGACTCGGATCAATTATGCTCAATCCACAGATCGGATCCTTCCTGCGGGGATCGTCCGCTTTCTTTAAAACTTACCTTTTCATGGAGCGGGTCCGGTGTCACCCCGTGCGGTAGGTGTCACCCGGTCCGGCGCGCACCCCCCACACCTGCCTAGGGACGCCACTGGCTGCACTGTATCTATGGAGGAGCAGATTTGTCACCCTAAGACACAAAGAGTAAGGCCGGCCATACATGGTTCAAATTCCAAACTATTTTCGTGCGAAAATCGGACCTAAGAATAATCGGACGATTTTCGCTCTGTTAGTGAGGCGATGGCACCGGACGATTTTTGTGGTTCCTCCCCATTTCGGTGATAAAGCTTGTTGAAAAATTTGTGAGAAACAACCGATTTTCGACTCAATGCCGGTCAAATCGTACGATCGCGTTTTTCCGAAAAGAATAGGTGCATGAGCCGTGACCTGGAGCGGACTGACAACTCATGGGGCCCCCAGGAAATAGGGGATCATGGGGCCCCTGTGTCCTTGCCCAAACTCAAAAAAGCCTATGAAAAAGGTACCAGGGGCATCTCATGGGGCCCCTACTGACCCCGGGCCCTCGGGCAGTGCCGAGTTTCCAAATAGTCAGTCCGCCCCTGGCTGTGACCTGGAAGGATCAGAAGTTTTGGCTGTTATATGGGGGGACCTAAGAATAATGGGACGATTTTCGCTCTGTTAGTGGGGCAATGGCACCGGCCGATTTTTGTGGCTCCTCCCCATTTCGTTTATCGGGCATGCTGGAAAATGTGTGAAAAACTACCGATTTTCAAAATCATTGGTGGCACCATCGGACTACAGAACGAACGACGTTTCGACTTTCGGACGAAAAATCGTTCGGAATTCGAACCATGTATGGCCTGCATTATAGGATGTTAGACACCACCCCCAACCCCACCCATCTTCTCATCTCCATAACATGGGGAGGTGTTCTGTAGTTCAGAGAGTGAGAGCTTGAAACAGATTCAAGGGATAAGAGTGAAGCGGCGGCTGAACGCACAGTAAGTATTCTGGCAGGATCAACAATTGTATTATTTTATTTATTTATTTTAACAGATATAACAAAATGCTGTCAGTTGTGTCTTTAAGAGACAAAAAAAAAAAAGCAAAAAAAGAGAAACGAATTGTTAGATTTTACATGCACTTTAATGGTTCCCCCCTCTTTGGACCTCAGCAATTGTTACAATTCTGCGGAGCCATTTGTTTGGCGATTTATTTGTCATTATTTAAGGTGACACATGTATTGTTTTTTGTGACACTTTTTATTTTTAAATCATTTAAAACAAAACATGTTTTCTTTTTTTTTTTGTTTTGACATCGATATCGTGGACAGAATTATAACAGACGTCCTTTCCCATGAAAGTGCGCTTACCGTTGGTACTCACGCATGGCGGCAATGACGCTGTCAGACAGAGGTTGGATGTCCTTGGAAAATTTGAAGAGGTCCTTCAACTGCACTTTAACTCTTTCCGCCTTGGCCTCTAACCCCGCCAGGGCCGACTTGGTGACCTAACAGGGAATAGGAGGTCAGTGTCATATCATTTGGTCATTTCAACGAGCCCATTGCCTGGCCTTATCCAGATTTGTTGGTTCCATCCAGGGGCGGACTGACAACTCATGGGGCCCCCGGGCAATAGGGGATCATGGGGCCCCTGTGTCCTTGCCCAAACTCAAAAAAGCCTATGAAAAAGGTACCGGGGGCAACTTATGGGGCCCCCTACTGACCCCGGGCCCTCGGGCAGTGCCCGAGTTGCCAAATGGTCAGTCCGCCCCTGGTTCCATCCCTTCCCCCATGTCCCTTTAATCACCTCCCATCTGGCCATTGTATATAAACGGCTGGACGGTGGCAGTGCAGGGTCGGGTGGCCGTTTATAAATGGCCTCCCCGCCCCCTGCTTCTGTGCGCTCCCTGGGAGTGCAC